AAAGGAATGAAATACTGATACATGTTACAGTATGGATGAACCTTGAAAACATTCTGCTAAGTGTAAGAAGCCACCTGCAAAGACCACATATTATATGATTCCATTCATATGAAATGTCCGGAACAGGGAAATCTAGAGAGAGGAAGTAGGTGGATGGTTGCCTAGGGCTGGGGGTATGGGAATGATAGCCGAAGGGCATGGAGTTTCTTTTTGAGGTGAAGAAATGTTATAAAATTGACTGTGGAGATGGTGCCCATGTCCAAGAATATACTAAAAACCACAGAATTGTAACTTTAAATGAATGAAATGTATGGTATGTGAGCTACAGCTCAATAAACCTGTTTTTTAAAATAGCCCTTGGGTCCTTTATTTCACTTTTAATTTGCTTCTCTTTCACCCTCTCCTATATTGCTGCCATCTGCTGGTTATTGTTTTAAAATACCTGCCAGAAAGACCAATGTCTTTAATTTTATAAAAGAAGCAAACACTGAAACAATGTAAGGAAGTGAAAATTTAAGGATATTTTTCTCTATCCTTTTGAAAATACTGTAGCAAATATGACCAGGTTCTCGAAAATAGGCTACTTCTTTTATCCTTAAAAAAAAAAAAAGATTTTTGTAGGATAAATGATTTCGGGGTGGTCTGGTGGCATGGTGGTTAAGTTCGAGCACTCCGCTTCAGCGGCCTGGGGTTTGCCTGGGTTCAGATCCCAGGCGCAGACATACACACTGCTCATCATGCCATGCTGTGGTGGCATCCCACACAAAATAGAGGAAGATTGGCAACAGATGTTAGCTCAGGGCCAATCTACCTCACCAAAAACAAACAAAAAAAACAAATGAGATTTTGAATAAAACACATGTAAAAGGCATTTGGCCACTTTTGAGACAATCAAGGAAATTTGAATAAGAATTAGCCATTAGATGATAATAACATTGATAATTTTGTTAGATGTGATCATTGCTGTTTAGTTTTGTTAAGAAGTTTTTATTTTTTGGAGATATATACAGTACAGAAGTGTTTTAGGAATTAAGTGACCCAGTATTAGGGATTTTTTTTTCTTTTTTTTTTTTTGTGAGGAAGATCGGCCCTGAGCTAACATCTGCCAATCTTCCTGTTTTTTTTTGCTGAGGAAGACTGGCCCTGGGCTAACATCCATGTGCATCTCCCTCTACTTTATATGGGACGCTGCCACAGCATGGCTTGCCAGGCGGTGCATTGGTACACGCCTGGGATCTGAACCAGCGAACCCCGGGCCACCGCAGCAGAGCGCGTGCAGTTAACCACTTGCGCCACCGGGCTGGCCTCACCAATATTAGGGATTTGCTTTAAAAAATATTACAATAAAAAAGGATATATGAAGTAAATATGGCAAAATATTGATAACTATTGAACCTAAGGGATGCATAAATGGAGGTGAGAGGTACTATTTTCTCTTTGTTGGGGTCTGTTTGAAGTTTAAAAGAAGAAGGAAAAAGGACTGTTATTCTTTGAGGCCAAAGGACATATACACCACTTTGAATGCTTCTAAGGACGAAGTAGAAAATAAATAAATGGAGGTAATAGATACTGAAACATTGTTTTGCAAATGACAGACAACCAATTTTTTTTAAAACTCTAGCCAGAACCAGCCCTGATGGCCTAGAGCTTAAAAAAATTTTTTTTTATAATTTTATTTATTTGTTTTTCCCCCAAAGCCCCAGTAGGTAGTTGTATGTCATAGTTGCACATCCTTCTAGTTGCTGTATGTGGGACGCGGCCTCAGCATGGCCAGAGAAGTGGTGCGTCGGTGCTCGCCCGGGATCCAAACCCGGGCCGCCAGCATCGGAGTGCGCGCACTTAACCGCTAAGCCACGGGGCCAGCCCTGGCCTAGAGCTTAAAGTTCAGCGTGCTCTGCATCGACAGCACAGGTTCCCGGGCGCGGACCCACACCACTCATCTGTGAGTAGCCATGCTGTGGCGATGGCTCACATAGAAAAACTTACAACTATACACAACTATGTACTGGGGCTTTGAGGGGGAAAAAGAAGAAAAAAGGAGGAAGACTGGCAACATATGTTAGCTTAGGGTGAATCTTCCCCTGCAAAACAAAAAAAAGTCTGTTCAAAGAACAAAAGACCTTTCTTCAAATCTTACCCAGATCAGACTGTGGTTGTTACATGTCAACAGCATATGTTTTATTCATATTCAGAAGTGTTCAAATACTAATTCAGGCAGGAATTTTTTTAAAGCATATATTTTATAATATCACACTGAAATCACTCTACTATCATTGAAATACTTACCTTTTGAGACTTGGCTCTTTTAAATAGAGAGGAGTACACCTTCTTCTTCGGCTTGGCGGCTCTGAAGATAGACCTTCTGACTTATTTTCAGATTTACCAGCGTTATTTGAAAGAAAATTGGTATTTGTCAAGTCCTGTAGTATTCTATCACCTGAAAAGTATATTATTTTCACAAATATTACTCAAAATACAGAGATGTGGAAATAGATATGGGATATTTAATGGTTTGCAAATTATTGGTAGCAAATTTTTAAACTTAACAATAACCAAGTTATAATTTTAAATATACAATAGTAGCACTGAAATTCTTTGTAAACAACTTTAATTTTTTTCCAGCAATAATGAGAGGAAAAGAGACTTAAAATTTGAAAACACTATCCAAGCGGCCCACAACATTTCTATTCTGAAATCAGACACAGGCTGATAACAATTCTTCACGTTTCAACTCTCTTCAGAGACTCACACGAATTAACGCACGCTCACTGAACATCTGTCATCGATGGCTCACCCTGTGAAAGGCACCCTGAGGAGCAGAGATGACAGATGGCTCCCCGTCCTCTAACACGTCCAGTAGCTCTAGACCTTTCTACTTCTTTCACTCCAGTATTTCTTCTCCTGGAATAGCCTGACCCACCAAAATCCTAGTGTTCCACATACATGTGCTGAAATGCTGGGCTCTCAGTAGAAAATGGTATCTCATACGGGAATGTCCAATATCACAATGTTTCCCACAGCAAAGGAACATGCTAGGGATCCAATGTTAAGGGAAAAAAGTGGGATGAGTACTGTTACACATAGTGTGATTTCAAGTATTTATTTAAAAATCCATGGATTCAGGTCTGCACGCATACGCCAAAATGCTGACTGCAGCTTTTTCAGGAGACTTTTTCTTGCTATTTTTTGATTCTCTACATCCAATTTTCTTCAGTGAGTATTATTTGAAGAACCGGGGAAAACAAAACTCACTAAAGGTAAAAAGTCTACCTGTTCTTCAGGACCTACAATGCTACTTACTTCCTGATGCCTTTGCAGGTTCCTCTAGTCAAAATGACTCCCCATTACATCACTCAGCATAATATGTGTGCTTTTATTAAAGCATTTACCACATTTCAACACTATATTTGTTACCTTTCATCCAAGTATTCTGAGGAAAGGGAGTTGGTATTAGTTATTTTTAAATCCTCTAAAATACCTAGAATAATGCTTTGATCATATTAAATATATGCTGGAGAGAGTCTCACCCGTAAGAAACTTGCAATTGTCTTTGGTAAAAGCAAACCAGGGCAATTCACTATTATATACAACTAAAACACTCAATTTCCTTCAAATATGTGAGAAAGAAAATTATCTGCCTAATGCCATTATCAGAGAACTTTGTGGTAAAGGCCAACTCTGTGTTTTAGGTAATAAATGTCCAAGACACTCTCAGAGTTATCTTCCCAAAGTATTAAACTTTTAAAAAATTGCTTCCTATTTTTTCTATAGATCAGGCTACACAGTTAACTATTGTTTTTAAATTCCATAAAAATATCAGTTATGACAGTAAATTTTTACTGGTTAAGGGATAAAAATATATACTTTTAAAACCTGATCACCTCAGGTATTGACCTACCTGTTCCTGATTTTTGTGTTCTCTGGTTGACTTTAAATTTCATCCTTTCCATCTTCTCACGCATATCATCACTTACTTGAAAGACTAATGAGCTCTCCAGGGCAAAACTTTCTCTAATATCAGATTTTTACTAGAAGAAATACTCAAAGGTATTGAACGCTGAGGAACACCGTTAAAGGAAGACTCTTGTATGTTAGGTGAATATATCTGAGATAAAGATGTAAACACCTTTCGGTAAAATTCTGGCTTAATTGGGACAATTTTCACATTTTTCAAATTTGTTTCCTTATCAGCTTGTTCACATTCAACTGACACTCCCTGAAGGGTGTCCATTACTTCACGGCCATCTGGAGAAGGCTCTCTGAAGGTCTTCCTTTTGGATCTGGATGTCATTTTACTAACTACTTTGGCCTGGCACCCTCCTTCTGTTATCACTCCCACAGAGGGGATCTCTCTTTTTCTATTCAGAGCTGTAGTTATTTGCTTTGGATTCTCACGTGGTTCCATGTGGTTTCCAGGATCAGAATCGGCTTCATTAGGAACATGTTTTGAACCTGATTCTAAGGACATACACGTCTCTGAAGAGTCTGTTAACTGCAAAATAGGTTTGTTTTCACTTTTTGCCAAAATGTTCTTTGCCTTGCCTGACGATTCTTTCCCATGCTTTTGAACAAGTTTGTAAGGATTGGAAACTTGATCACAATTTTCATTTTCATTACTCTTGATTTCCATACATCTCCACTGATAATACCTTGGCATTAAAGTCTTGTTTTCGACTTATTTATTTTAAGACCAAGATCTTTGGTATAGCTTTCTTGGCCAGACACAACTTTATCATTACCCTCATGTATTTGGAAAGTTTCAGAATTATTTCTGTCTTCCAATTTACTTTCTGCCTAATTTTCTTATTTGTTTTTGATTCATTTTGCTGAGCAGGTTGCATATCAGTGACATCCTTTTCATATCCAACATATGCTGGGTCTCATACTCGTATAAATTTCTATTATGTTTGGTGGAAAGATGAGCTGTTTTAAAGTCATCTGTTATGTTCAGCTTTTCAGAAATGGTTTCTTTATCTTGTTGGGTTAGGGAAAAGACGTACCTTTTTCTGGGTCATGCACACCTTTGTTCTTAAACTCGTTTATCCGGTTCATTTCCAAAATTATTTTTGTCTTCCAACTTACTTTCTGCCTGAGACTCTTCTTTATTTTTGATTCATTCTGCTTTGCAGGTGGCATATTAGTCACATGCTTTTTCACCCCCAAAATGTTTTGAGTCTCATAATCACATAGGTTCCTATCACCTCTGGTGGAAGGATCAGCTGTTTGAAACTCATTTGAGTCTTCTAGGTTTTTAGGGTTGATTTCTTTATCCTCTTGGGTTAGAGAAAATAAGTTACCTTTTTGGGTCATGTATGCCTTTGTCATTGATTGGTTGATATCAGAAACTATTTCTGCCTTGCGATATACCTGCTGCCTAAGCTTCTTATCTACTTCTGATTGATTTGACAAGCGGGCTGCAAATCATGGACAGGCTTTTTCACCCTCGAAACATCTTGCGTCTCAAAATCATATGGGTTTCCACTATCTTTGGTGGGAAGAGCAGGTGTTGTCAACTCACTTGGGTCTGCTTGGTTTTCAGGGATGACTGCTTTATCCTTCTCGGTTAGGAAGAAAGACTTATCCTTTTCTGGGCCATACACACTTTTGTCATCATCTAAATAATTCATTTCAGAAATTATTTCTGTCTTTCGATTTACTTTCTGCCTAAGCTTATTAACTTTTGATTCATTTTGCTGAACATAAAACACATCGGTGAGCCGCTTTTGTAAACCCAACACATCCTGGGTCTCACAATCACACAGGTTTCCAGTATCGCTGGTAGAAAGAGCAGGTATTCAAAACTCGTTAGAAACTTCTGAGTTTCCAGAGATGGTTTCTTTATCCTCCTGGGTTTGGAAGAAAAAGTTACCTTTTTCTGGGCCCTGTGCATCTTTAGCATTATCCCCATATATCTGGTTCATTTCAGAAATTATTTCTGTCTTCCAATTTACTTTCTGCCTAAGCTTCTTATTTATTTTTGATTCACTTTGCTGAGCAGTTGCATATCAGTGACATGCTTTTTCAATTCCAACATATTTTGGGTCTCATAATCATGTAAATTTCCATTATCATTGGTGGAAAGATCAACTGTTTGAAGTTCATTTGTGACTGCCAGGGTTTTAGAAATGGTTTCCTTATCCTTTTGGTTTGGGAATAAGTTACCTTTTTCTAACTTATGAATCACAGAGGTCTGTCTAGAAGCTTTACCTTGATTACAAGCTAGAGAACTCTGACCCTTATCAAATTTAGTCTCCTGTTGGAATTTATCTGAACTTTGGGAGAACAAGTATGTTTCTTCTCGCTCATCTGTTCCACATATTCTTTTATTTTTTTTATTATACTGTGTACTTTGTCTGTCATCTTGATCAAAGCCATTACAAAGGGTTATCTTCTTCAGGATGTTCAACTGAGTCAGCTCTTCATTACCGACCATAAAATTTGGATCTTCTGAATCCCCTTTGCCATCCAGGACAACAGATCTTCTTTCTATTCTGTTTTCAGTCTTTTCCTCAATATTCACATCTGAACTATTTTTAAATTGTCTTTGATCTTTCTTTCTTTTTTTCAGAGCTTGAATCTTTCACTTTTCTGAAAGTTTTCATTCCGGAATCATTTGGTTTTTTATACTTTTATTTTTAGTGCCTGCTGAAACTGTAACAATTTTGCTTACATCACTTGCAGTTAAATCCATGTCAGCATCATACACAGTTTTCTGCAACTGAAAGTCAACATTACCCTGAACTTGATTCATGCGCTCTGCAGTAGCTTCATCTGCAGACTCAGAGGTGTCAGGAAGACATTGTATGTTTCTTTGCATTTTAATATTAGTTTCATTAGTAGGATCATTTATCTCATTATTCCCAGTTAATCCTGGACTTGAAATTTGTTGTTGATCTAAACCTGTCACACAGGGATTGTCTGCAGGATCATTTGATTCCCAAGATGACACATGTTTTTTCCTTTCAGTCACGTTACTAAGAAATGGTTTCTCCTTTCTGTGGCTGATTGACTGGACGTTCCTTATCTCACTCATTAGAGAACTCTTGGAACTTTGGTCTGAGTGGCTTTCTATAAAATAAAGGGAAACAACCTTCAGAAATAAGTAATGACACGAAATTTATTATTTTAAACGAATTAGATTAGAAATCAAGCTGTTTCACAGAGAGAATTTCTGACAATGTGTTCTGTTCAGATACTTATATTATAAACAATCTATGCTGATAAAAAATAAAGTAGAAATGATCAGAGTATTTGTAACCCACATTTCACACTTGTATCTATGTAAAATTGTTCCTGAGAATTCACTCAGCTTTGGTCCCGACAGTAGAGTGGAGAAGAGCCAAAAGTAGAGCCATTAACATATATCTCTAGAGTGGGAGGAGGCCAGGAAACGAGCCCAAATAACAGTGATAACTCTGATAAGGATTACCGTCGAAAGGCTTTCAGGAGGCAGCTGAAGTATATATCAATTGTACACACACACATACATTTTGAGAAAGTAAAAATAATTCTAAGCTCTAAATTCAATATAGTTATGGTTCCATATCCCAATCTGAAAATCTACAACAAACACATAAGCCAGCCTACACCACAGGATTATTATTCTGAAATCCCATGTGAATACAATGTAAGTGTCGTCATTCTCTCTTGCTCAACCGTTAGCCACGCTCAAGCTTTTGCTTTACCGCTAACTGGTTATGATTTTGAAAAACTCACCACACCTATCTAGGCACCCAATTTTTATATCTATGAAAAGGAGAAAATAAAACTAAATAAATATACAATCATGCACTTGCACTGCTTAAAACATTTCCGTCAACAACAGAGCACATATACAATGGTGGTCCCATAAGATTAGAACCATAGATCCTAGGTGTGCAGGAGGCTATTCTATCTAGGTTTGTGTAAGTACACTCTATGATGTTCGCACAACTATGAAATCAACCAACAACGCATTTCTCAGAATGTATCCCTGTGTTTGTGCGGTGCATACTGCATGCTATCTTTCAATTCATAAGCTAAGATACCAAGAAAGCCTCTTTAGGCCCGCTCCTTTCTAAATATTGCTTCCAGAGTAACAGTATTAGCCCACTCTGCATTTGACGTTTGTTGGCATATCTACATTTACAGTAAATTTTTCACCAGCAATTTTAAATGGTAAACGGTGGCAAATTTGTAATGGAATAGATCTAACTTATTAACTTTATAAACCATGGCTCAAGAAGAAAATCTGATGAATGTAACTACTTAATACTGATACTCAAAATGGATTTAAAAATCTCACCTTTCGGAAGTATATCAATAGGAGAAATATGTTTTGAATCAACTAAACCACACACCTTTTGATTATTTTCTTTAAGAAATAACAATTCCACAGGGCCGGCCCCGTGGTGTAGCGGTTAAGTGCGCACGCTCCACTACTGGCTGCCCAGGTTCAGATACCGGGCGCACACTGACACACTGCTTGTCCCACCATGCTGAGGCGGCGTCCCACATACAACAACTAGAGGGATGTGCAACTATGACGTACAACTATCTACTGGGGCTTTTGGGAGAAAAGGGGGACAAAAATAAGGAGGAGAGTTGGCAATAGATGTTAGCTCAGGGCCAGACTTCCTCAGCAAAAAGAGGAGGATTGGCGTGGATGTTAGCTCAGGGCTGATCTTCCTCACAAAGAAAAAAAAAAAGAAATAACAATTCCAAATTGTACTGAGTTGATAAAGGTTGTCTTGTTGATACTGAAGAGGGACTATCAGGTGATGTCTTTGATATAATATTGTCGTCACGTTGCATTTTCTCTTTATCATCATCATCATCATCATTTGAAGTTAATGGAACCCTAAAGGCAAGTGGAAAAGAATGAGGAATTTTGTATTTCACAAAAAGTACTTAGAAAATTACATGGATAGTACTTTCTATATTCCATTTATTTAAGATCCAACCACGAACCCACCCTGGTACCTTTTTGGGTTCAATGAAGACAATTACATGTAGAAAACAGATAGTTTCTAATAGTACAGAACTTGGAATAAAGCAGGATTGCTTCTTACCCCCACAGCCCCAGTGGCCCCACAAGGAGATAACTAATATAATCACTGGTTAGGCTGTTAGGATAATAATACTAATGCAACGAATAAAGTTTGAACATAATTACAAATACGCATGCATAATATTTATAGTTTTCCCGTAATTAATTTTATGGAATACCCAAAACTCTTCCTCTGGTTTCAAACAACTACAATTGCATGTAAAGTTATGTGTGAAATAAAGTTTGCTATGTTTCCAAAAGGCATCCATGTAAACTAAAGCCATATTCCTACAGTAGCTAAATCTATGGGGATGAGAAGACAGAAACCCACAGAAATAATCTGATACACTGACCTTCTTGAAGTCAAAGAATGAAGAGTAAGATCCCCCAATGCTAAAGATTTTGCCTTTAATGCCAAACCATAAATATTTAAAAATTACTGATGATGATCAAAATAAATATTGTAAAATACTTGTTGAAAATTTAAAGGCAACTATTAGTAGAGCAGCCATTTGGAGGAAATTTCTACGCCACTTGAAAAAACAAGTTAACGAAAATAAATAGAGAGGAGAGAGGTTCTGCTTCTGGGTAATGCCCGAATAGCTACTACGGAATCCAACCCTATCAAAGATGATGTCCATAAATTCTGGACAAAATATATAACAACAATTACCTGAAGTCACTGGAAAGTGAACAACAAGCAAGTAGAAACCGAAGGGGGTTTGACACTTACAAGTGGGGTGAGTTTCCCATTGTGGAGAACCTCAGTCAGTGCCACATTTTTAAAAAGTTAGAAGTCCACAGTCAAGTTCAAAGTCAGAATTCAGGGCAACTACAACAGATGTCGAGTGTGTGTGATGGGGGAAATAAACGAGAGGTAGCAAGGGGAGCCCCAAATTCTATGTATAAACTCTCCCCACATCACTGGGTGACTCCTGAATCACATATATGTGAAGAAGATTCCAAGAAGCCCCAGTAAGGATAAAAGACCTGAAATGAGATTTCATATGTTGCTTATAACAGAGAAGAAGTTTCATTTCAGACAACGTAACTACCTACTAAAATAAAAACATCAAACTTGTTGGAAGAACATACCTGAATCCAGATTTTCTACAACATAGGATTTACAAAGCCCAGGATACAGTCCAAGGTTATTCAACATATGAAACTTAGGAAAACATGATTCAAACTCAAGAGAAAAAGATAATCAACAGAGAATGATCCTGATATATAAATGGCCAATAAGCACACGAAAATATGCTCAATATCATTAGTTACAGGGAAATCCAAATCAAAACCACAATGAGATACAACTCCATACACACTAGGACGGCTAGAATTAAAAGGATAGACAATAACAAATGTTGGTGAGGATACGGAGAAACTGGTACCTTGCTGGTCGGAATGTAAAACAGTTCAGCAGCTTTGGAAAACAGTTTGGCAGATCCTCCAAAAGTTAAATGTGGAGTTATCATATGACCTAGCAATTCTACTTGTAGGTTTATACCCAAGAGAACTGAAAACTATGTCCACACAAAAACTCTTACATGAAGGTAATAGCACTATTACTCACAATAGCCAAAAAGCAGAAATAGCAAAAATGTTCATTAACTGACAATGGATAAACAAAATGTAGAATATCCATACAACAGAATATTATTTAGTCATAAAAAGGAATGAAGTACTAATACATGCTACTACATGAATGAATCTTGAAAGTGCTACGCTAAGTCAAAGAAGCTAGACACAAAAGGTTGCATATCATGTGATTCCATTCTGATGAAATGTCCAAAATAGACAATTCCATAGAGACAGAAAGTAGATTAGTGGTTGCCAGGGGCTAGGGAAGAGGAGAATGGGAAGTGAATGCTAATGGATACAGGCTCTCCTTTTGGAGTGATGGAAATATTCCAATGGAACTGGATAGTGGAAAAGGTTGCACAACTTTGTGAATATACTAAAACCACTGCAGTGTACACTTTATTGTTTATTTTTTTATTTTTTTAATTTTTTGTTTATTGCAGTAACATTGGTTTATAACATTGTATAAATTTCAGGTGTACATCATTATATTTCTATTTCTGCATAGATTACATCATGTTCACCACCCAAATACTAATTACAACCCATCACCACACACATGTGCCGAATTATCCCTTTCACCC